CTATTGCTATTATTTCTATTTTTGGTGTCTAGGCATGTTAAGAACAGCTGCTGGCCGTAAAACTAGGAAAGGAAGCTCCAACTTCCAAACAGCCAATAAAAGCTGAACTTCGACGAATGTAACCCAAGCTTTTGCACTAATGACAACTGTTAGATAACAAAATGAGTTCCAGATGGCACAACCATCATCATGTTCACAAATCCTATTATTAAACCATGGGATGGAGGAGTTCTAAAGGCCTGTTCTATAGGGGAGGACCCTTATCCAAGAGGAGGGGAATAGATAATTTCAACTTAAACAAAAACAACAACGTCAAACCTCCAGGGAATTCCTCCCTACCTTTCCCCCTCTCACCTGGTCAAACGTGAGCAGTTTCTGAAGCTCGTTTTTAACGATTAGAGATTTTACATCATTGGAGTCGGGGAGGCAAAGCCTGTAGTTCAGATCTCCCAGCCAGATGACAATGCTGAAAGATACGAGAGAGAGCGCAGAGAAACTATTAGAGCCATGGTGGCACAGTGGTTAAAATGTAGTATTGCAGGCTAATTCTGCCAGCTGCCAGCAGTTTAAGTCTCACTGGCTCAAGGCTGGCTCAAACTTCCACTTTTCTGAGGTGGGTAAAATGAGGACCTAGATTGTTGGGAGCAAGAGGCTGACTCTGTAAACTGCTTAGAGAGGGCTGTAAAGTACTGTGAAGCGGTTTATAACCCTTAAGTGCTATTGCTACTGCTCTTCCTTTCAATCATCATCTTCAATCGTCTTCTTCTTTTAATGACCCCATTATCCCCCGCGGGGCGGAGTCTGAGCAACTGAATGGAGCTGAAGGTTTATGGCCAGATGCCCTTCCTATCACCAGAGCGGGGTTTTGTTTAGCAGATACATTCTAGTCGCGCCCATAAGAGACAAATATCTGCTTCCTACCTAGGATCAAACTCACAGCCTCCTGATTCTGAGGCGAGAGCTCCACCTCTAGGCCACCGCACCGCTCATGGCTTGGGCGTCAATGATTGTGTTTACTTCACTGAGCCGAACGTGTGTCCTTTCCACCTCGCTTCAACAAAATGAACAACGCAAGTCCTCGCTGAACTTCCTTCCCCGCCACCCCGTGTTCCCCACCCTTCGGACGCACTCGTGTTTCATGATGGTCAGCTGGGGCAGGCTTTGGTCGGGAACCTGGAAACTCATGCGGGCGCAGATGTCCTTATAGTCTTGATTGCGCTGCTCGAAGTTCTCCACGTGGGCAGCCAGGTGGGAGTTGACGATGCAGAAGCTGGTGTTGTGGAAGACGAACCTGACCGCCACGCCACCCTTGTTGCCCTGCAGGAGGCCGGACGGAAGCAAGGGAAGAGAAGGGAGGAGGGAGAGCAAGAAGGAAAGTGTCGGTTGGAGGGCGATGAGGAGACAACCTGGGGATTATCCAACGCTGGGGGACACCCCGCTTACCATCTTGCCCATGATCCCGGTGCCAACCGTCTCTGCCACCACGTCTTTGATGAAGTCGATATGCTCCTTCCTGGCGAAGATCAGCAACATCATGCCAACCAGGCGCACCAGCTGCACCTGTTAAGATTTGGGGACCTTAGAATGGCCGTCCCGCTCTCATACTGGCCCTGACCAGCAGGATGAGGGAATGGGACTTACTTTCTTGTACTTGGCTTTGTGGTGCAAAGCCTTCTCCACCGCCGTCAGCCACTCTTGCTCTTTGTTGGAGTCGAAGTAGAAGAAGGCTTCCGTGCTCAGGTCCAGCTCCTGGAACCTGGAGGGGGAAAGAGTTCGGCAGATGCTGAGCGTGGCCTCAACAACAGCCCTCCTTGGCTTGAAGAGCCCTGCTGGCTAGAAGGCAGTATTGCAGGTTAACTCTGCATTCCCACTGCCAGCTATTCGCTCCTGACTGGTTCAAGGTTGACTCAGCCTTCCATCCTTCCGAGGTGGGTAAAATGAGGACCCAGATTGTTGGGGGCAATAGGCTGACTCTGTAAACCGCTTAGAGAGGGCTGTAAAAGCACTGTGAAGTGGTATTTAAGTCTAAGTGCTATTGCTATTGTCCTTCCTCCCTCCCTCCCTCCCTCCCTCCCTCCCTTCCTTCCTTCCTTCCTTCCTTCCTTCCTCCCTCCCTCCCTCCCTCCCTCCCTCCTTCCTTCCTTCCTTCCTTCCTTCCTTCCCTCCCTCCCTCCCTCCCTCCCTCCCAACCTCCCTCCCAATGGTTAGAATGCAGTATTGCAGGATAATTCTGCTCACTGCCAGCAGTTCGATCTTGACTGGCTCAAGGTTGACTCAGCCTTCCATCCTTCCAAGGTGGGTCAAATGAGGACCCAGATTGTTGGGGGAAATATGCTAACGTTTGTAATCCGCTCAGAGAATGCTGTAAAGCACTATAGAGTGATACTATAAATCGAAGTGCTTTTGCTATTAGGAGCCCTGGTGGGGCAGTGATTAGAATGCAATATTGCAGATTAACTCTGCCGACTGCCAGCAGTTCGATCCTGACTGGCTCAAAGTTGGCTCAGCCTTCCAGCCTTCTGAGGTCGGTAAAAATGAGGACCCAGATTGTTGGGGGGGCAATAGGCTCACTCTGTAAACCACTTAGACAGGGCTGAAAAAAAGCACTGTGAAGCGGTATATAAGTCTAAGTGTTACACTGTTAACAACTTTAATTGTACATTTATGATGTTATAATGACATGAGTATGACTAATGTAATTAATATAATCAAAATGGATAAGAGATGAGGGATAGAAATAGAATATTTATTAACGTAAGATTGGTGTTATCAAGATATGAAATGGAGGTAGAAGTTAGAATAGGGGAAAATACTACGATAAATATTGTTATATGTTAAAATCAGCAGGTAGATGAAAGGATAAGAAGCTGAAAGACGACTGTATTATGTTATTAGAAAGATGTGAGTATGATTAATGCAAGGTGATCAAAACTGTCAATTTTATTATTACTATTTGGTATCAGAGTTAACACCCAGAAACCACACTGTTCATGTATTTAATATTTATATACATTTAAAAATAAAAAAACTTAAATAAAAAAACCTGCTTAGAGAGAGCTTTAAAGCCCCGTGAAGAGGTATATAAGTCTAATTGTTATTGTTATTGATGCAGTCGCTTCCAAAGCTAGTTGCTCCTGTTCTTGGAAGAAGAATTCTTATTGCAGTCCATGACTAGCCCAATATTGTCTATCTCTTCATCCACCCACCCATCCTTTCCCCAGGGAGCTCAAGACAATGTATGTATTTAACATTTATAAATCTGGTTATTGTTTCCCTTCCCTCCCCTCCCCTCCCAGAGGTAAGTGGACCCTTACAAGCCCTGGGTTATCACTGAAGAACCCTAGGACAAAATACTGGAGATTACTTTTCTCTCTGGGCCAAATTGAAAGCTAATAGTTGCAATGAATAGAACTGGAGTGAATAAAGAATCAGTTAAAAAACAAAACCAGGAACAGAACCAGAAACAGAACAGCTGTGGTGGCAAAGGGAAGGCAAAAAGGCCTTAAAAAGGCCTTGCTTTGGGCATGCTAAGTCTTTGGGATCTCACCCTACGCAGTAGATGTCTGGGGGCTCCGGGTCTGAGATCAGCCAGGGCTCCAAACCCCCATCTGGCGATTGTCCGTTGACGTTCCACGTCCCTATAAAAAACCTGCAACATACAGGAGGAAGCCGAGTTGATTAAGGCAGGTCAAATCCCTAGAGGTCAGAGTTCAAAACCCCAGCCATGAAAAGAAGTTTCTTCAAAAGCTTAAAAGGCAGGCTAGATCAGTAGATTCAGAGGATAATTAGGACTGCAGAAAAAACAATTGCTACCAACCTGACTTCCATGGAGGACCTGCACGAGTCAAAAAGAGGGCAGTGAAAATATCTACAGACCCCTCACATCCTAGACATAAACTGTTTCAACTCCTACCCTCAAATCGATGCTACAGAGCATTGCACACCAGAACAACTAGACACAAGGAGTTTTTCCCCGAACGCCATCACTCTGCTAAACAAATATTTCCCTCAATACTGTCCAACTGTTTACTAAGTCTGCATTACTATTACTATTAATCTTCTCATCACTCCTTATCCCCCATCCCCTCCCACTTGTGACTATATGGCTGTAACTTTGTCACTAGTATCCTTACGATTTATATTGACTGTTTCCTAGTATGATTTGATTGCTTATTGTACCCCATGACTATCATTACGTGTTGTACCTTATGATTCTTGATTCTTGATGAATGTATCTTTTCTTTTATGGACACTGAGAGCATTTGTACCAAGACCAATTCCTTGTGTGTCCAATCACACTTGGTCAATAAAGAATTCTATTCCATTCTATTCTAGCCACACAAACGTGAAGCTGGCCCCTCTGCACTCACAACCAAAAAGTACAGGTTTACAATAGTTCATTTAGTGACCGTTCAAAGTTACAACGGCACTGAAAAAAAGATGACCATGTTTCACAGTTCCGACCTTGGCAGCATCCCCGTGTTTGTGTGATCAAAATGCAGGGGCTTGGCAACTGGTTCATTCTTACGACCGTTGTGGTGTCCCACGGACACCTGATTCCCCTTTTGTGACCCTTCTGATGAGCAAAGTCAACGGGGGAAGCCAGATGTCACTCAACAACCAGGTTAGTAACTTACCAATGGCAGTGATTCGCTTAACCACTGGGGGGGGGGGGGGGGCAAGACAGGCTGTAAAAATGGGGCAAAACTCACTTAGCAAATGTCTCACTTAACCACAGAAATGTTGGGACTCCATTGTGGTCGTACGTCAAGGACTGCAATTAACCTGCCAAAGACTCCACGCCTAGGAATCAGAAGTTGTGGGAGCTTCATCATTGCTGGAAGCTTTTCAGGAAGAGACTGGACTGCCCTCTGTCAGATATGGTGTAGGGATCTCCTGCTTGGGTGGGTGGGTGGGTGGGGTTGGACTAGATGACCTCCAAGGTCCCTTTCAATTCTGTTATTCTATATTCAATGGAATGCCTTGTTGTGGCCTGTCGGCAGCCTGTGCAGACGGCAGCGGAATCGGACAGTGGGGAAGAACGGGGACCAGTCAAGGAGTCTGGGGAGGACTCGGATGGGGGTCCTGCATCCGATACAGAGATGGGGCCAGGACCATCTGGGAGTTGTGTGCTGCCTCTGGAGCCTTTGAAGTCTGGCAGCAGTGAGGCCGAGGAACAAGGGGAGCCTGTTCCCAGTATGCGTGTGCACAGAGCTGCCAGAAGGCAAGAGCAGCTGAGACAAAAAGGGCAACTTGGGAGTAAGGCTGGGAAGTGATTGCCCCTTCCCTAGGATATAAAGGAAGTGCAAAGGTGATGAAACCTTTGCAGGAAGCAAAGTCGTTCACTCTGTTCGGATTAAACCTTGAAGCTCTGTGTGGACTTTGTAGTTCAGTTGGGTTTTTTTTTTTTTACAGTTCATTTGGCACTTTAGTTGTTGGCATCCATTCAAAGGAGAGAAAGGTGGGTGCTTATCTCGAGAGACTGTTTGGGACTCATTACGGGCTGGGAATGCACATAATTCCCAGCGTTGAAATAAAACAACAGTTGTTCGGACTAAGCGTGTGCTTAATTACGGTCTCACAAAGCCTTGGTCAGAACATGATTTGCCTTCAGAAGTTGTGGAAGCTTCATCCCTGGAAGCTTTCAAGAAGCGACTGGACTGCCATATGTCAGAAATGGTGCAGGGCAGAGGTCTCCAAACTTGAAGGCCCGTGGACTTCAACTCCCAAATTCTCCAGCCAACATAGTTGCGAAGTTTGGGGGCCTCTGGTGTAGGGGTCTCCCTCTCGGGAGCGGGGGTTCGACTGGATGACCTACAAGGCCCCTTCCAACTCTTGTTAATCTGTTATCTGAATCAAACTTCTTGGGTTGTGGGTGGGTGTCTCACTCCTGCTCCCAACTCGCCCGTCTTTTCTTCGAAACAGACCTGCAATGCTGGAAGCCACTTCTCCCAAGGTTAAACCTGCCAGGTGCCTTTGCACAGCCCTCACCTGAAGTTCCGCAGGTTGACGTACTCCTTCTCCCGCTTAAGGACGAAGTGCTTGATGAGTCCTTCCCTCTGCCCAGATTGCGTGTGGGTGGACGGCGCGAAGAACGTGCGCATGGTGCTGCTCCCTTGGGGGGGGTCCTTGTTGGTGGCCTCCTTCTCGCGGAAGTGCCTAAAGGAGGCGAGGCATAGGGGGGTCAATAACCGGCCTTCGCCACTGAACCCCTGGGGTACCCTTCTACTGAGACGACTTACGACCGGCTGGGAGGCTGGGGGGGAGGTGGAGGCTCCCGGCGGGCACTCATCTGCTGGTTCTGCAAGTTCCTTTTCTTCTCCAGGCTGATGGCGCTGAAATTATCCTCGAACCCCAGAAGGCCTGAAGAAAGACAAAAAGATAAAACAACTTTCAAGTTAGCCTTCAAAGGTCTTCCAGGAAGTTCAACAGCAGAATGGAAGAAATAAGGCTAGCGAGTTATTTTATTATATAAAATATAAAATTCAAAGAAAGAAAGAGAGAAAGAGAGAAAGAGAGAAAGGAAGGAAGGAAGGAAGGAAGGAAGGAAGGAAGGAAGGAAGGAAGGAAGGAAGGAAGGAAGGAAGGAAGGAAGGAAGGAAGGAAAGAAAGAAGGATAGAAGGCAAAGAATAGAGGAGATTAAGGGAGGGAAAGGGAACAGGGAAAAGGGGGCGTGGGATACAAGAGGGAAGAGAAAAAAGAAAGAAAAGTGGGGATTTGACTTTCAGCTCTGCCTAGCTCAGTACAAGATAAACACACTCCAGCCTCAACGTTTTGCTTTTACATATTAATATATAACTAGACATTTCTATAACACCAAATCTTTCTGATCAGCAAGAGAGATCAAAGTTTCATTTTTTCCCCTTCTTCTTTCACAAGCACCAATTCCAGAAGTGATATCCAAATAAGAACATATTTCCCTCTTCCAAGAAAGTAATCAAGTGAACTATTCCTGCTTTATCTTCCTTGCTGTGGGGAAACCACGTGTTATTTCTATTTGCACCTTGTCACCTTTATAAACGGTCCCCATGTTATAAAAGTGATGGTTTCCTATTCGCCTCCAGCAACCGTTGTCTTAATGTGTTAACTTCCTTCTGGGTGCAGCCCGGGTTTTTCCAACTAGAATTCTCATCCTTAATAACTGGGATGTGTGTGTGTGTGTGTGTGTGTGTGTTCTGGGAGCTGACTCTCAAGACATCCAGAGGATATCCAGACTGTTCCAGGGAGGGAAACCCGAGGCCACCTCTCTTCAGGAAGCAAGAGCAATTTCTGCATTCAACATGTGCTTGCTAAACGAACTTCCACAGGGGTGGGGAAAGCGTGCAAGACAGGTAGCACTTTACCTGCAGGAAGGGGCTCAGTGGGCCCAGAGAGGCCCTTCACTTGGTGCCAAGAGGCATGGTCCACGGATTCAGAGGAAGGGTTTTTTGATGACGCTGGAAGAAAGAGAGACACCCGTGTCACCTCCAGCTCTGGTCATCCCCCACTTAAGTTTCCTTAATGACATCACAAGGAATGGGAAGCATCATCACCTTTCTGAACTGTTAGCACCTCGGCAAGGAACTCCAAGCACCGCTCCTCATCTGCTATTTCAAACAGACGCTCCGCGGTGTGATCCCCCTGGAGACGGATCTTGCAACCAGCTTCGGGAGTAAAACACAAGAAAAGCACATGGTCAGGAAACGGGGGTTAAGGCTGATAAGTCCGAGAGCCGGAAGTCGCACATTGCAAATTACTTTAAAAGGAAAGAACAGGGGATTTATTAAATGACAACGAAGGGAGAGGAAAAGGCCCCGGCAGGTTTTTTTGGGGGGGAAAGCACCAACTTTGCTCAAAATTGGAGTGAATTTGAGTTGTTAATCTAATCCTACGTAGCTTCTTCTCTGGTAATATCACACTACTAACTAGAGCATACAAAACGTTTGCTAGACCTATACTTGAATACAGCTCATCAGTCTGGAAACCATATCATGTATCATGTATTAGCACAATTGAAAAAGTCCAGAAATATTTCACAAGAAGAGTTCTCTGCTCCTCTATTCGTTGCAGAATACCTTATGCCACCAGACTTGAAACTCTAGACCTAGAAAACCTAGAACTACGCCGCCTCCGGTCCGATCTAAGTATAGTATAGAAAATTATACGCTGCAATGTCCTACCTGTCAATGAATACTTCAGCTTCAACCATAACAACACAAGAGCACACAATAGATACAAGCTCAAGGTTAATTGCACCAAACTTGACTGCAGGAAATACAACTTCAGCAACAGAGTGGTCAATGTCTGGAATACTCTACCCGACTCTGTGGTTTCTTCCCCAAACCCCAAAAACTTTAACCTTAGACTGCCTACTATTGACCTCACCCCTTTCCTAAGAGGAAGTATACAGGGGAGTATAAATTCCTGTCCTGCCTTTGGTATGAGAGCTGGTTGGGTGACTTTGGGCCGGCCACTGTCTCTCAGCTCAACAAACCTCACTGGATTGTGGTGAGGAAAGTAGGAGGAGGAAGGAGTATGAGGCATGTCCGTTGCCTTGAGTTGTTTATAAAAATAAGGGTTGGATATAAATCAATCACTAAATCATGGCACAGCCATTAAGGGGTTGGACTGAGATCAGACACACGGTTCCACCTTTAGCCATAGAAAGTAAGAGCAGGGAGCGTTATCTGAGCCCAATCACTTTCTTTCAACCCACTCTTATCTAGAAAGTACCCTGTATGTGATGTTGAGCAAGGAATGGGAGAGATAAATCTAATGAAGAACCAAATGGGGAAGGGAGGGAGGAAGGAAGGAGAGAAGAGACAAGGGAGGAAGGAGAGAAGAGACAAGGGAGGAAGGGAGGGAGGAAAGGAAGGGAGGGGAGAAGAGAAAGGGAGGGAGGAAAGGAAGTAAATGTACGATAATATACATGTGACCTTTGCCAGCACTTACATTTGCTTCATGACTAATTCCAAAGAACGGTTTAAAAAAAATAAAAATAAAAAAGGGGAGGGAAAAATGAGAATTCCTGCATCCCATAATGCCAAACATTATTTAAGGAAGTCAAATGAGGCTAGCTCCTGACATAGAAGGAAAGGTATGTGCAAAACAGGTCTGGAGAGCTTTAATCTATTGTTTCTTCCTTGCGGCTTGTACACTCACACGATCCTTTCAAACAAAACAATGCATTGGCTCAAATGCTTCTCTGAAAGTTGGTGAGCTTAAACTATTTTTTAAAATAGATTTCTCCCCCCCCCCCCCCCCAAAAAAGCAGCAAAATGAGTTCTGCAAGGCCCCATTTCGATCCTTAAATTCTCAAAATCCCCTCCCCTACCGTGGTCCACAGGATGTCCTTTTTTTAAAAAAAAAACAACACTCTGGCTTTAAAGGGAGAGGGACCATTTCAAACCTCCAGCAATCTCCACCCCAACCAGAATTTGCAGTTTTATCACAGCTTCCGCCTTACGGACGCCTGCCTGAGTGAAAGAGGCTTGCAGAAGGCATGCAAACTAAAACAGAGGAGATTATCTGCAATGTACGCTTTAAAAACAAACAAACTGGACATCAAGTTTCCCAGCCTGCCCTTTTCCACTCCAAGGTCAAAAGAACAACAAACCAAGAAAAATCCAGTGGCTTTTCTTCGTCTTTGGTAACAGAAAGAAGGAAAAGCCCTTTGAGAAGACAGAAATCCAGAGTTCCTTGCCTCTGACGGGTTGGCCATTCTGCAGATCCTCCAGGAGTTTGGGGCATGACGAGCAAGGGACAGGAGGTTGAGGATCGTCTATGGACCTTCTCAGTCATCCAGGACCTGGTTGTCCCAAAGGGGCTTTTTTCCAAGAGGCAACTGGGCCTTTCTGGTTTTTCTGTTGAAGACGTTTTGCTTCTCTCGCCCGAGAAGCTTCTTCAGTTCTGACTTGGATGGTGGATTCATCAGAGCTGAAGAAGCGTCTGGGATGAGAAGCGAAACGTCTTCAACAGAACAACCGGAAAGGCTCAGCTGCCTCCTGAAAAAGCACCTGTGGGAGTTTGACGATTACACTGGGAGTTGGCTAGGCTGCATAAATAGATGTCTTTCTGGAATTCCGAGTTTACTCTTGCAGGCTTCTTCAGAAGCAACCACAGTTTTTGAGATTTTATATATATTTTTATCCTGCCTTTGTGGTTTTTATAAATAACTCAAGGCACCAAATGGACCTAATGCTCTTCCTTCCTTCTATTTTCCCCACAAGTCTTGGCGGTGAGTTGGGCTGAGAGACAGTGACTGGCCCGAAGACACCCAGATGGCTTTCCATGCCTAGGACAGGACTAGAACTCCCAGTCACCTGGTGATTAGCTA